TGGATGCATTGCAACAAAGGGAATTAGGGCAAATCAAGCCGAGCGGTCACACATCGCGTTGCACCTGCCAGCACGCCATTTCCCAATTACCCTCACAAATTGCCCCGTATCTGAAGGGAAACAAATTACGTGGAATTCCTCTCTTGGGGGTGAGGGGGGCCCTCTCTCGACGTCGAATTCTAAGGGGGCTTGGGTAGACGACTTGGTCAAGGCGACACAAACCAGTGCCGGATTAGCAAGTTGTAGAAAATGCTACGGGCCCCGGTACTTTCAAGAGCCCCCGCGTGAAATGCTTTCAAGCGATAAATTCCGGTTCAGTGATTCTGCACTTGCTCTATCACTATAGTACTATACTGCCTTCGACTTTTATGAACGACTGGGTGTTTTAAGGTTAACGATTTGTCGTATTATCTGGCCGTATAGCAAATGAAAACATACAATTACTTTACAATGCAAGTTAAACATTTGTGTTTTAATATTTACGTAAAAAAAAAAGTAGGGCCCCTTGAAAACTAATGCTACGGGGTCCGCACTTTCAAGGGCCCCGCGCTAAATGCTTTCAACATATTAATTCCGGTTCAGTGATTCTGCACTTGCCCAATTACTATAGTACTATACTGCCTTCAACTTTTACGAACGACTGGGTGTTTTAAGGTTAGCGATTTGTCGTATTATCTGGCCGTATAGCAAATGAAAACATACAATTACTTTAATATACAAGTTAAACATTTGTGTTTTATTCATAATAAAGGTTTTTGGGTCAGATCGCGTTATTTATAAATGTGTCGTAACCCTCCACCACCAATTGCCCGATGATGCTGGATGTAATTACGAGAGAAACGTCGTACTCAACATTTTTAATTATTTTGATTCACTCCAACACACCGATGGGCTAAAGTAGTCAACTCTTTGTCCTTTGTCAACGTGACACATTTTTTTACTGTTTGACCGTGTCGGGTGGTGGAGGGTTACGACACATTTATAAGTGACGCGATCTAACCCAAAAACCTTTATTATGAATAATATTGCTCGCGAAAGCCTTCGTGTTATTTGGGTTTTTAATATTTGAGAAATGTGACGTCACATCAAAATGCACAACTTTAAATAAATATAGACAACACGTTCTACTTAATAAAATATACTTTTTAAATAAATGTTTTCTCCTACAACATCAAAGTGCAGCGCCACATTAAATACGCACTACAATGACAATAGTTTAAAGCGATTTGAAGCATGTTTTATTTGGGGAGGGGGGGGGGGCAGAGCTTTGTGACGTCATATTTGAGGGGGGGTCTGACTTTTTGTGACGCCGTGTGACGATGGGCGGGGGGGGGGGGGTCAAAAATCGTCCAAAATCGCGTGACGTCATTTATGGACGGCCCCAAAGTAATTGGAGTTTTTCATTTGCTATACATCCAAATAAAACAAACCGGTAACCTTAAACACCCAGTCGTTCATACAAGTTGAAGGCGGTATAGTACTATAGTAATAGAGCAAGTGCAGAATCACTGAACCGGAATTGATCGCTTGAAAGCATTTAGCGCGGAGCCCTTCAAAGTGCGGGGGCCCGTAGCATTCGTAGCTACTTTTTGCGACGAAGATAATCCAGCACTGATTGTGTCCCCTGTGAAAGCTTCAATTAAGACGCGCGGCCAAATACACGGAGGAGGAGCGAGGTCGAAAGAGACCCGCAGATCATCGCCGCAAACCTTTTAAAAGTAAGCCATTACACACCGCCTGAAGTTGCCACTCTACGGGTCCACAATCTCGGGACAAGCAGCAAGAAAGATGTAAAAACAAAATATTGCATTGCTCAGCCCAAACCTGCGTGAACCCATGTCTACATTTCCCATAAATATGCTAAATTCCTCTGTTGATATGCAAATTCCTTTGTCAAGGCGCTCTTCCCCCCCTAACCCAGCTCAAATATACGCTGCCAAGCTTGGCGGTGTTCATTCAGACGCTGTCTTTCCGACAGCCCTGTTCTTCACCTGAGGACGGCTGCTTGCGTTGTGGCCGAAACGTCGTGAGAATTGTATTATTTTATTGTTTTATTTTTATTATTTTATTATCTCCCTTCTACGTGACTTTACCAGATGAATCCCTGCAGTCGCGAAAGCTGTAAATCGAAATGTCTGCGTGAACTGGTTTGTTGCATCGAAAAGGTTAATCCAGAGAGGGGGGTGGGGTGGGGGTGTTGCACAATTATATTGAGCCATTTGAGCGATGGGCCATGGTTCGCTTCAGCACTGTGGTCTGAGCCGAGGACCGATTACATTTTGGTCGTATGGCAAGGAGCGGTTTCGCGGTGGGCGATCGCACGGTGGAGGGGGCTGTTGAAGGGACGCCAAAGTGTTGTGCAACCGGAGATAGTAGAGCGAGAGAGAGAAAGGATGGTTCATAGTCTACGGAGGTAACAACTACGTTGACGTTCACAGCCGCGACATTCAGGTCCCTTGCAAGGGTCGTCGCACCGCGCCGTGTTTGCAATTTATGGGAAATGTTTGCCCACGTTTGCTCATGCATTCAGCACAATGCTGCGTTTTACTATGAATGCGAGTGCCATATAACAATGTCATGCTTAAGCTGTGTACTGTTGAATCCCGTCATGAAATAAGGGAACACAAAAGTCAATAATAATAATAATAATCAGGATGTAGGTCAAGGCTAACCTCGGTTTACCAACAAGGTATCAATCAGATTCATTTCCTCCGAATCGGATTGAAACACGCACCCACCACCCTGAGCGTGTTCCTCGAATTTCCCAGACGTCAGTCGACGGGCCAAGATATCCACTGCCACATGCACACTCATGAGAAACGACCAGATAAAAATTGGCTGTAAATGTGAATAATGACCATGTAATATAATTTGTGCAAGTGGACCACGGAGTACCAATGATGTAGCTTTAGTCAAACAGTTGGTGGTCACGAGTGAATTGTAAATTTAACTGCCCTTGTGTCACTAGATTATCCAAACTCCAACACAGGAGATAATGAATCTGAATGGGTTCTCACCTCTTTAAACATTACATTATATTGATATTATTCAAACCCTATTCCCACTTAAAATTGCGAGCGAGTTGAACATAATTAAATAACCCGAGCAGCATTTATTGCTTGGGATGAGATAGTACTGAATACATCTTTTTTGGTAAAATTGCATTTGAAAGTGAACTAATTCATATTAAAAATGTCACCGGGTACAAAGCTCGCTTAAATAGCGCATCATTATCATAAGGAAGCTTTCGGATAGTCGTAAAATTATTGTATATAGCTAGAAGACATTTCCTTTAAAAAAACAGAGGCGAACCATTTAACTTAGTTAGGAAGTCGACAGACAATGAAACAAAATCTGCAACCCAACGTAAAAAAGTACAAACTTTTAATTAAAAAATATTCTGATACACACACTGCCGTTAGCAAAACACATCTAACTCATCCTATTTGTAATAGGTAATGCTCGTTTTATGTAAATCTAAAGATTTAGTGTACCAGTTTTTCGAGGCCAGGAAAACCTCCTGCAACAAAAAAACTGCAGTCGTGACTATAAAAGAGCAATTTATTACTGGAAGTAGAAAATAATTAAAAGTATGTCAACAAAGCTAGAGTGTAAACAACCAGTTCTTTGGTACAATTCACAGCAGTTTATACCATTACCTCCTATCCATTTAAATCACATTACACGAAGTGACCCCTTATTTCAAGGGCACCTTAATTGGATAATTCGCAATTAAATGACACCATACTTAAGCAAAAGTTATTCCATTACTTCAGTTACTACAAAAGCACGCGAAAAAATGTTTTTTTTTTTTAAACGTATACCGGAATAGTCAAGGCACACATGGATTAGTAATCATTCACCTGATGATTCCAGTTCAACTGAAAGTTTGTTGCTCCATCCATGCATCATGCAAGTTGGCCCCTGCATTAACAAAATTGCATGTATCATGGGACCTTTTGGCCAGTATCAAAGTATGAAAAATAACAATAGGTGTATCCCTCTGTCAATAAAACAGCCGTTTAGATGGTTGCCTTGTGGCGTTCTCTGGTCCGACACTGGTGAAACTTGGCCATAAAAAAGACTGTCTCTGGTGTAGGCCATTCAGTTTCAAAGACGATGCATATATTATCAGAGCATGTTCGTTTGCACGTTCACCACAAGTACGTGTGGCTAATGCAGACTTTATTCCTTGCAACATGTGTTTGACAATCTTAACGCCTGTTTTATTGCCAGAAAGGGTAAAACCTATTATTTTTTCATAAACTCGCCTTTTAGTTCGTGTTGCACAGCAAACACACGTACAAAAATCCACGTAAACTTACCTTACATCGGGCTCCATTTGGAGACAACCATCTCATAGCCATCACAATACACTCTCGGACTTAGGAAATATCCATCACTTGCGGTACACATTTTTCAATGCCAATGGCGGTGTTGTGCAAACTGTTTTTTGTGCGTCGCACGACAACAATATTATGTTTAGAATAATATTTTTTCCATCATGTTAATAGCATAATGGCCATGAAAACATAGCAATCAAAACAAGAGTGACCTCGGCTTGACATTCACACATTAACCATAACGCTGAGGCTTAACAAAGGCCTTTGCACCTATGCACCAAAATCGATTTAAATATTCTGAAGCCTTTCAGCCATCGACACATCATACTTACTTACATACGCAGAAAGAGGGACGCCGACAACCATTCATCCAACCAGACTGAACCAACAGCAAAGGCTACACTCTACTGGGTTGATGAAGGGGCTTCGGCACCCATAAAAAACGAAGATGGATTTGGAACAGAAGCAAGTGAGTCGGTGCTCGACTCAAGAGTGGGCATGAAAGGAGATGAGGAAAGTCGAGGAGAGGAGGCACTCCCAACAATCTATTGCTTTACCTTGCAGCGACTGCTTGCCACATTGGCATCACTGCTGCCAACACGTTAGCGCCAGGTCCAAAATGGGACAGTAAAACTGTTTACTAAAAAAAAACGTAACTTGAATATAAGGCATTGTTTATTAGAAGCAATATCAGTATGTTACAATATACGATAAATCTGTTTAATTTAATAACCTTAAGCAATCTGTTATAAAAAACATTCATGATGGTATTTACAGAGCAATTGTATAGTTCCCATACACAATGCAAAAGTAAATAAGGGTTTTAAAAGACATTGGTTTTTTTCCAATTTGTGTTTAAATTATTGGCTTGATCCTTTATTTTGAGTAATGGAATGTTCTCTAAACATTGCTTTTTCTATAGGATTAAGAACTTTTAAAACATCATTTCAAAACACTAATTTATTCTAACATTATTTGCAGTCCACTCCATATACAGTATATGTGCTCTTTTAACTCTGAAAATACACAAATTGTAAAGATTTATTTTGCTTAATATATACTGTACAAAACTCACTGTATATAGTACAAAGCCCAGTAGCAACTGTCTGCAAAAATATTTGTAAAGAAATAAATCCCTTCTATTCATTAATAAAATAGAAAAACGTAAAAAGCTGTATATTTTAAAATCAACAGCTTTTAGGATAATGACAATTCGATTTGTAAGAAAGGCTGTTGTGCTTATAAATAGCATTAAATACACATACGACATTTTTATTTCAGAATGTCTCATCATTGAATGATAACAATAAAATGCCTTTACCCCAGTGGCTGGGAGCTGAAGAAGGGAGAGAGAGGGGGGAAGTGGGTTTTGGGGAAAACCCGCATTATTGGGTTCAAGAAATACTAGACGTTTTTCATTAAAAGAATTCATTCAAACAAACATTATAAAAAGTCATGGCTTGCTATGGATCTTTTTAGAGCAACATACATGAAGGTGAATGCAAAGTGCTGGCTGAATGTGCGCACGAACGTGTGAGTGACTTGGCGAGCATTGCTTCATGATTTTCTGCACCCAGTCAAAAGTGCTCCAACCTCCAGTAATTGTCTTTTGCCTGCAAAACATCGAGAGAAAGAAACAGGGTTTTAATACTTACGTTCAACCTGGTTTTAATAGTTGCACTAAATTTTTATTTTTTTATTTTACCAGGTAAGGCACACTGAGCTCTATAGCTCTTATTCAGAAGCGACCTGGTCACAAATGATTGACGAAGTGGCTTCATCATGTGGAAATTTATGATTCTAAATGTGGATGGAAAAACCCTGGGCGACCTGGAGAAAAGTCCAAACGTCCACGGGAAGAACATGCAAAACTCCAAATATACAGCAGGCGTCCTGGTCGGGATTGAACCCATGTGCTCCTGGAAAGCAGGCGAGGGATTTAACATCTCGCCACGGCAGCGACCGATACACAAATCAATATCGTTCCTGTTTCAGGACCAGAACTTCAACAATTGATTCACGTGACCTCCAGCCACCGTTTCCTCAGTGAACTGTATAACCAAACAATTCAAAGAGGTTACATCGAAACAATCGCGTCTAAGAAAAGCTTGAGCTCGGTTCAAATACCAACTTGACAATAACAACTCAACACCACAAGCCATGCAAGCGCCACTGTGCACTTGACTATCTTGCTGATACACCACCGGTAAATTTGTGAAGGTGGGAACAATTTTTGCGATGAAGGAAAGTGAGTGGGTGCGGATTGTGTCGGTGGCCAACTAAGAAAACCAGCTTTAATGCAAGTGCTAAAACCCTGTTTATTCATACATTGGCCACAGACAATGACGACACAAATGAAGCAATGACAGCGCTTAACCGGAGGCGAAAGAAGGCTCTGCAACCTTCACTAATGTCCCAACTGGGTGACCATGGCCGAGAGCCCCGCATTCCCAATTTGGCCTTCTGGAGACCGCAGCAAAGCAAGCCTGTGAGGTTGTATGTTTGTTTAGCTTATTTCGCACCGTACATAGCCAACCGTGCTTCAATCGGAGGTGCTGGAACGTGTGAGGTTTTGTGAATGCGTGAGGGGAACTTTGCCGAAGGCACGCCAGCTTTGCTAGCCCAGGACACTGCCATCGGGGCCCGGAGTTCACTCACCCTTTGTGACGAAGTGATCGCCAACAGGAACACCGTTTTGTGAGTCAACAGTCTTTCAGAACACGTGTCCCCCCCCCCCCCCAAGGGTTCAAGACGAGAATCAAAGAGTGTTCAACGCCAGGTGTAATTTCCGGGGTGCAACCCTCGGGAGCAAACCCCGACCTTGTTTGGTGGCCTCTCCCGCTTCATGGCCCTAAAGAGTCCTGACAGCATGTTAGATTACCTTACCGAGTGCCCCTCAACTTCCCCGTGGAAGGCCGAGATAGCCGCCAATGACCCTCAGGGCTGCCAACGAAAGCTGTTCATCGAACGCCTCCAATAATTTTGCAATGTTCACGTCCCCGCAAGATACAGCTTCAAACCCTTTGCATGATACCATCCTCAACACTTTTTTCCAGCGGGAAACACACTCACCAAGCGGCCTGTCTCCTGGACTTAAAGAAGTAAATCCTGAACCCCTCTGTCCAAGTCTGGAGAACCAGGCCCTCTTAATTTCCACGTTGTGAGGTTCAAGGCAGTCGGCCCCGACACCAGTCCCTCCCTCTGCGACAGCAGATCCAGCATCGATGGGGGCTACAATGTGTCGCCCACCAGCATGGACTTCAGCTCCAAGAACCATGACCTCCTGGACCAGTCTTACAGCACCGTTGGAATTGGAAGCGGGGGGGGGCAAAAGTAACCAAATCCCTCCCCCTTCCCTGTTCAGCACTGTGGACATCCCATTCGTAATCACAGCTCCCCGATGGCAGTACCTTGAGGCGAAGTACCTCACTTTTGCGCACTCCCTCGCTCTCTGCCCAAGACAAGAGGCGAGCCAACTCATGCGTCAGTTTGTCGAACCGAGGGGGGAGCCCTGCCGGTTCACCACGGCAACCGCCATTGTTTGTCGCGCCTCAACAAGACATCCTTCCCCATCACTACTGCTCCTACTTGCCGTTCTAGCAGTAGCCTTAAAAGCCCTGAGCTACAGGAGATTGATGTTCTCCTTCCTTTCCGCTGGTGACCATCTGCCCTGCAAGGCCTTTGCTTTGGCTTTAAGAAGCCCAGGGGAATTCCCTCCCGCAAGCACGGAGGCTCCAGCCATCATAACAGGCCCCGCCTCGGCAGCTGGAGGAGAGCTTCACAGAGTGCCTTATGTTGCCCTCCACAGGGGTCTGCGTGCTGTTAGCAAGCAGCACTGCATGGTGCTCACATGTCGCCTGGCCCACCTATGTGGCCCAGAGTTCCCAGGATGCACCTTGCACTCCCCCCACTTCGCCATGCAACCAGTCCAGGGTGGTCCAAGCAATGGGGCTTCTTTCACTTGACCTTGTCATCACCTGCAAACTTGAATTAGTCTGGGCTGTTGCCCCAAGACCATTCGACAGGCATCTTTGAAGCCTTTTGTTACATCTCCCAGGAGGAAGGGCCAAGCGAAAACCCCCTCTTCTGCGCTCAATTCCTCAGACGATGAGCACATGCCTCCTCCTTTGCCTCTGTTTTTCACTTAACTTTTCTGTTATTCGAGTCCAAAATCCCCGTGGGTTTCTCAAATAGTTTTATTGCCACAGTAGAGGTGGCCGAGACCCCGTAAGGTATTCGTGAGTTTGGTCCTGCTTACACGTGTGCCAGCAGTAGCACACCCAGGCACCCCATGGATCCTTCTGGGCCTCCTAATTGGGCCCCTCTCTCAGGCCTGTCTGAGGTTGCCCTCAGTATGAGCTCTCAAACGCTCTGCCACCGCCAAGAACATCGTGTCATTTTCCTCCCTGAAACTCGTCGTCGCAGTCAGAAGCCTGCTCAGAGACACTCAACATACGAGGGGGCGATGGGCTGCGAAGACAATATCGCTCCAATTCAGCGCATTTTGCAACCAGTTGCAACCGATCTCTAAAGCATTGTCGCCCGACGGGCACTTCCTGGGCTCTGTCATTCTTTTGTAAGGATACATGTGTTAAACTTCTTTTGCACCGTACATAACTGTGCTAATCGGCGCTGTGCCCCCCCCCCACCACCCTATAAATGTATCACCCTGTCAGAGCCGGTGGACGTTGCTTGTCAGCCTTGGGGGAGGCCACGCTTGCCTCCAGGGGTACATTGCCCCTACATCACCATCTCTTTCTTGATGGCTCGGTGGACATGTTTGTGGGGGCCGTTGGTGCCCCCAGCTCCTCCCCACCTCGGTGCGATTGGTCGCAAACCCACGTTTTCCAGAGGCATCCGGCTCGACTGGCCGCTCTCTGTCGTGAGAGCATGGACCTAGCGCAAGGTCTGGGATGTCCCAGCGGGACAACCACACCCTTTGGAGCTGATCGTAGCGCCGTTTCATGCTCGGAAAGAGTTGGATGGCCTCTTACCCCACCGGCGCTGCCATTAACTGTGGCTCTTGGGCACCAAATACACCGCCTCCACGCTTTCCTGTCCCGTGAGGGTAGCGCGCTCGCTGCCGTCAACACGACACCTGTTTCACGTCCGAGGTGCTCCAAGCACCGTGATTGCGGATCGCCTTGCCATCCTCAAAATGTAATTCCGATCCGCTGTCACGGTGCTCCGGGGCGCGTGGCCATGTCCTACTGAGCAAGGACCTCCATGTAAAATACGAAAAACTTTCTCGCACGAAGCCATTACAAGAACAAAAAAGGCTGTGCTACGCTGCTCAATCGCAGTAAAACCGCATGTATTACCCGCGGGATAATTTGTACGTTCCACCTACGTAAGAATTTAAACTCTTACTGCTCGCAGACGACTAAACACTCTGCACCTGGCCCAGGCGCAGAACTTAAAAAACACTAAGTAAATTTAAATTCTTTGGATCTTTCGGTAAAGTCACGTAGATAGAAAAATAAAATAAAAAGAAAGTGAATAAAAATAAAAATTATAAAAATAAAAAAAACATTAATGTAGACTGTAGCCTGGTTTTTAGCCTGAGTGAGTGTACTGGCAGTCTATAATGTAGACTGTAGCCTGGTTCTTAGCCTGAGTGAGCGTACTGGCAGTCTATAATGTAGACTCTAGCAATGGTTATTAAACTGAGTGAGCGTACTGCCAGTCTATAATGAGTAAATGGTGGCTGGAGGTCACGTGAGCTGGAAGAGGGGGGGCAAACCACCATCACCCCTCCACTTCAATAGTTAAATTATTAATGAATCACTCAAGTTCTGGCCCTGGTAATGTGTACAGTTGGAGCGTGTCGGTGACCAAGGTATGAATAACAAATAAACTTACTGCACACACTGTAGTTATGCAAGCATTCCATTTTTTATGCCCACTATTTGTCACAGTACAATTAGCTTACAATGTGGACATTAATGTTCCATTAAGACGGACAGCATACTTGAGCCTCAGAACCCTAAGTGGTGCCATTTATTATTCATACATGTTTACTGTCAGACAGCAAATGCACAGGATTCCACCACAGAACAGTGCTGTACCATATCAATTCCACTATTTTAAGTGGTGAATTGTAGAAGAACGGCTACTTATTGAATTAAATTTAGCAATGGCTCTCGTGTATGATGATTTATTGCGTTTGTCCTGCAAGGAGCAAGCCCTGTGCGCACATGCTGTAACACCCTTACATGCTGTTACACCCTTATAAATATACACAGCAGAGCCACACACTTAATAATCACTCCGGATTGTACGTCACCTACTTGTTATTTCCAGCAGAAAATGTTTCACGCGAACCGTGCAGGCTTAACTGCTTACAATGTGATTTCTGCTCATTGCGGTGCATTAATGAGATGGCTGGCTAGGAGCTGTGCAATATGTGCCGCACAATAGGGGTATCGACACGCTCGCGAGAGCCAGACAATTTAATCGCCGACACCGGCGATGAAGTCCTAGAACGCTGCGTTTGAAAGAGTCGCGGAACAACAATGACACCAAATTAGCGAGCGCATCATTTGCGAATTGGTAACGGACTCCCACTGGCACCATTCTGTTCCGCCTCGTGCATTTGCCGATGTGCCGTATGTGTACTGTAGACCCGGCGATATGCGTCAGATACATCCCCCGTGCCCGTGTGAACCGCAGGGTCAGGTTCGGAAAAGTCACCTATGCCACAACAGCTTTTTGTGTCTGCTCGCCTCGCGTCGCCTCTTCTGCCCGTGCCACCACGTCGGCTGTTAGTGCCTCCTCCAGTCTCCTCCTCACACTCCTTACCCGCTCCTCCTGCTGCCTGCAGACACAAACACAAAAGCGCTCGTCACCCACGTGAGGCCGCGGTACCTGGAGGAAAATTAAAAAGCGTTTGCCATCCATCATCTGTCAAGAGATCTGCTGAACTGTGAGCCATTTGAGTCTTTCATTATTACGGCTCATTATTATGCAGTGTAGGTGGCCTCTTCTCACGACCACTAAAATCATTACCGCTAGCCATTACCCGCAGAAGGAAAATACACACCAACAATTGTAATGCAATATTCGATTTCTTTGTCTGAAAACATTGCGTGCAAAAAACAAGCCCTCAAGTGGAATGGATAGAGTAAAGTGTTACTATGATGTACACCCAACAAGTCAGCCTCTGCTGTTTCAGCACCGACATTCATCACCAACCATTAAAATATCAGACATCAGAGCAGCTTATTAGGATCTGTACATTCTTTCTCCTCTGCTTGGAACAACAAATCAAAACCATTACCCTCTACATTTACCAATACGTCTCCCATAAGGGGCTCCTGAGACAGGGCTAAAACCAAGAACATTGCCACCATTTCCATTAACTGGCCAGAGCTTATTTATATCTGCAGCTATCACTTTAAATTCAGCTGGCCAAGAGGAGTCATTCAATTAAAAGCCATGCGCAATCTATCCTGGACATCTATCCACGTCATCTGTCAGTTTCTCACAAGTCTGTCAACCTGTAGTAAATGTTCATCATGCCTGTTTTATCAGCATCAAGCATTTCTAAATTTATCAAAGAGATTATTATACATAGTGCAACATACTGGAATAAATTTTAGGTTGCTATGGAAATCATATGTGCGCAGAGGATACATCAGAAGTAGGCGGTGAGTTACATGACGGTTAAACATTCTGAATGTGAAATTAAATCACAGCTATGAAACAGCCGTATATAATTCACAATGCAATTGTAACTGTAACTGCAATTTTGGCTTTGTAATTGTTATAGACAATATTATTTCGATTCTGAAGAATTTAACTGATAACATAATTGGTTTATTGAAATCAGCATTTTGGATTATGAACAGCTTTACCTATTTACTATTTGCCATGTGATATTTTCAGGCATCCCTTGCGTAACCCCCCCCCCACCCCGTAGTGTAAATTGGCAGTTACGCGATTAATCTTTTAGGGACATACTTCACACTTGTACTGCTGCGTTTCACAGTTATGCGCTCCAGAAAAAAAAGACTAAAATTGTGAGAGAAAAAAAAAATGTCCCAAATTTTTTTTTTTCCTTTCAATTATAAAAATTCACGGTAAAAATAATACATTTCTCATGGCGTCATCACGTCATGGCGGTGCCCAGTGTCATGGGCGGGGCGTAGCCATCCTAGATGTCTTTGTCTGCATCACGTGTGCAGCTGCTGCTGTTACTGCTGCTGCAAGCAGCCCACGGAAGTGTTAAAGAAGCCCTGAAGTTACTCCTTATTAAGTAATCCCTGTAAGTAGTAATCTTCTTAACCTTAATTATTAAGTGTTATTAAACTCCTAATAAAGTATTGTAATTAAGTATTACATTTATACGTATTGTGTAATTCCAATAAAAAAGGAACGAAACGGGTGGACTTCTTCACAAATCTGGCTGTCACCTGATGAAGCTAGTTGTAATTACTGGCGAAACGTCGTACTCAGATTTTAATGTTGTGGCTTGGCTCTCTACCAACGGTAATCCATATTGAAGTATGGTGCCCTGTATAGGGATGCATTTAAACAATCTTTGGCATGTTCTGTTTACGTGACAACCCTTACTAGTTGGCTATGTAAGGTGGTGGTGGTGGGTTTTAACGACACATTTATATATTTTCGTGATCTAACAAAAGAAAAAACCCTCTATTATGAATAATAACTAAATTATATATTTTTTTTCTTTGGCAACGCACCCCCCCCCCCTCCCTTTATAACATATGTCAATGTGAAAATAGGCTTCGTACAGCGCGATTCGATTTACGCTGTTTTTCAGGAACACGTGTCTCGTGTAATGCGAGGGCCGCCTGCATACGAGCATAACAGTGGGAGCCGAGACCATTTGGATACAAAGCGTGCAATCTATGTGGAGTGAAATTCAAACTGCTAAAAGAATGAATGTTTAGCTTTAAAATGTCAAATTTTATTAAGTATTTACATTAAGGAGTTTCATTTATTAAAATTCCTAATAGATTAAAAAAAACTAAATTACCCTTTAAACAAAAAATCTCAAATGAATAAAGCAATTAAAAAACCACTCTCAAAAGGAGGTCGCACTTGACTTGATTATTTACAATAAAAATACGTCCGTGTGATGACATATTCAATGCTTTAATTTCCATTTGGCAGGCAAATACAAACCATGTTTGTTTGGAGTGCTCTAAAGGTTGGAGCTACTTTAAAGGAGAGCTTGAAGATCAAGTATGAACTTCTACATTAATAATAATGTATTGATGCCACCTCCTGGAAAAACAAAGTAATTACATAAACTCTTTTCCATCGAACTTTGTTTTAATATAAGCAAATGATACAAATTAGATGTCTCCAACAGAGGGCTTAATAAACTTGCTGTTACTGACACTGTTCACATTGGAATTAATGAACCATGATGTCGAAAACGAATTGTACAACAGTCTGGTCAAATTGGTGTAGTGCTTAATTACTTAAACAAGGTTCGCCATCGCTACGAGTTGTCACGTAAATTACAATTCCATAAAAGATCCGAATAAAACTCAAAATAACACATTTTTTCCATTTGTACACAATGACATAGATATTAAGTAGATTCCAATCAACAGTGTTATATGAACACTGTAGCTTCCTATTTAAGCAGACCTTTTGATTGCTTTACATAAGAGATTAAAATGGACGAACATATGTTAAGTGCAACAATTGTAATGTAACAGCACAAAATAACTTCACAATGAACAGACAGGTATATACTGTATTAGTGTACACAATCAAATGAGGTGCCGTTCCATCAAAGCTACTCATACTGCGTTATTTTACAGCCCTTTGACAATCTGCTGCTTAATCAAGGCCTTCTCATGCTTTGTCGGTCATGGGAGTTGTTTAACCATACTTCAGCATGCTAGCCGAGCGATTTTCTGAAGGCGATGGAGATGTGGACCCAGGACTGGTTTGGATATCAACACCGATCTTGGGAGTGGGCAGGAAGTTAACTCAAGACACGGGGTTCATTGCACTGCGCGCTAACCGCTGCTCCACTGCTCCAATAAAGGCATGAGCACATTATTTTCATAAATAACGTACAATAAGCACACTCAATGTATTAGAGGGAATGTTTAAAATCTCATTCCAGTGCCTTGCCCAAGTAAGCCATTTGTTCGCGAGTCGGACAATGTAGTAACCGGCAGTGATAAAAGCGAATTTACAGGATTACCCACAAATAATGATTGAGAATGATTGCTGCGATGAGTCACCCAGCCCTTTGAGCTGAACCAGGAAAGATCACAGATTCACAGTTACCAACGTGCTGCACTAATCATCAGGCTTGATTGGCAACAACTGCGATGTGTGTATATTATTTTAATGGGTCGACCCAGGGGTCGACAACCTTCTGCTCCGGAGCCGCATGCGGCCCTTTAAGGACCGCTTCGTGATGTTGTTTATCAAGAACCGCCGTCTCGCATGCACTTGCATTGCGGCTCTTGAAATAGATAATTTTTTTACCGAATTCGAAAAAAAATGTCTCTTCTTGCTATTTTCGTTGCTGACCCCTGGACACGCTCCGGATGACGACATGGATGACGACACGCTCCGGGTGAGTCTGGAAACTCACCTGACGTCGTCTTCCGTGACGACGAAGGGCTTACAGAGGGGCTGCCCGGTGTTGAGCCACACCGCGGGGTTGCGCTCGACGGCGGTTGACAGCTGCCCCGTGATGGGGCCGCTGCTGTGGTGCAGCGCGCTGGTGATGGTCGACAGCAGCGCATCGCCTGTGATGTTGGGACCTATGCCTGCCCAGCCCAGTCAGAGTGTCAGAGAGCACGACGGCGCCCGCCGTTCGCCGCCAAGTGACGGCAATGTCACCTACAGTGCTTTTGAGGCAACACAAGCTTCCGTCTTCAGGTGGAACTGTCACAGCACGACTGCTTTATCAAGTAGCAGTCGTGCTGTGACGGTTCCACCTGAAGACGGAAGCTTGTGTTGCCTCCGAAACGTCGTGCTTTATATTTTATTTTTATTTTACTTTAATTAATTTTAATTTTTTACCTACGTGACTTTACCGAAACAACCTATGAATATGAATCCTTGCAGTCACGAAAGCTTCAAATCTAGAAGTGCTTTTGAGGTCACGGTAGGTGCACTCCGATGTCACATGACGCGTTGAAAGCTCACTGGCAGTTCACCGGTCACAGGACAGACCCAGGTGTCACAGCTTAAGTGACTGGGATGACTGACAAGGTACCGACTTGCTCCCCACTGTGCCCACAGTGCACAAAGAAACACAGATGTACTCGCAAAAGCCAAATTCTGAGCACAAGCCTCGAACTATGCATCACGGCTATGACATTACGATTAAACTTGTTAATTTTACCAGGTAAAATGATAGCTCAACGAAGTGGCTTATCACATGGAAATGTATAGCAGTCATATACTTTAAACACTATGGGGACCTCATTTGCCAGTAAAAATATGATAATTGGTTCTTTACCCTTCTATCTGGCAACAAAACTGACACCTTTTTGCAAGGAGTCATGTTTGCATAGACCGCAATACCTGCAGGTATTGCGGTCTATGCAAACATGACTCCTTGCAAAAAGGTGTCAGTTTTGTTGCCAGATAGAAGGGTAAAGAACCAATTATCATACTTTAAACACGTTTCTAAATGGAGGGAAGAACCGGAGGACCCGGAGAAAAATCCACGCGACCATGAGGAGAACATGCAAACTCCACAACCTCCTACATACCAGGCAAGGGAGTTAACATCTCACTAACGCGGTGCTCATAAGAAGCACGATGGACATTTTAAGCATGCACATTGTGAGATATTATTTATTACTCTCGTGTTTAAAACCAACTGACAAAAACACTTTTTTTTTTATTTAGTTACATTAATTTTGATTTAAAGCTTTTGTGACTGCAGGGATTAATATTCTGAAAGAACCAAGAATATACATTAATTTTTTATAAGTATTCTAGTGTTTAAACCAACTGACAAAAACAGATTTTGTTAAAAATTCAGTGACATTTTTTTTTTCTGGAATATAATCTTCGGAAATATGAATACCGTTTTAAAAGGCCGGCATTATTTTACAGCAAAGCTTCTCGTTATTCGTAAGAATTACACGTAATGCGGCTGTAGCGACATTTCAATTAAACGCCAGTGTAGCACAAGCGTAGGAGATATCCAAACCTGAGCGGGGGCATTCACCTTGTAATAACCTGGGCAGTTCGATGGCCCTCATCACCTCCTCCGCAATGTCAGACGCACTCAAGCCCTGAAGCCGCTTCTCCCAAAACACCTGCAGTCACGCACAGCACAAAGAGAGCCAACTGTACAAAACATTTAACTACAGCCGCGTACGTGCGTGCGTACGTGCGTGGTGACTGTAAAAGGGGAGCGCGCAGTGGGTTAGGATTAGGATACCACCCGAGTTTGAATCATACCCACGATAATCAGTGGCGAATAAAATCTGACCAAGTCCTGACCCCTCCCCCCAAAAAAACCTGTCACCAACCTCGCACAGACCAGCAAAGTGAATTATGATCAAGCATATCCAATGACTGATATGGCTTGGGAAGGCCTTTATCCATCAGTGGCTTGACAAAGGGCTGTAAACTGTTACACTACAGAAAAGCAGTAGAGGGCATGTTTCATCACCAAAATAACATTTAACGTATGACCTCATTACCCTGAATGTGCCCAATTCTCATCAGATATAGAAAAAAAAGGAGGGTTACCCCTAGTTAGTACATGGTTGGGAGACTACATCCCTATACTAGTTGTTATAGGCTTGTGCTGCAAGACAGCCATGAGATGGCAGTACAGCACAGATTCTTGAATCTGTATGGAGCTTTTAAAATTACTCCCACGTTTTTGTAGATATTTTCCAGGTACACCAAGGTTTTCGCCCACATGCCAAAACTTCATGAATGGAATTGGTCAATAATTCAATGTATGACCTCCCAAAAGAAAACTGTCTTTATACTCAGTGAGGTTTTCTTAGGAAAATAAAGTAATATCGCCAACGCTACACGACCAGACATCATCACCAGCTCAACTAATCCAACAACAATAATAAAATATGTAAGTGCCAATTTTATATACAGTATACATTCTGTATAATCGTCACTGCAAACAATGGACCTTTATAACCATTTGTCAAGTCCTTTTTTTTCTTGCAGTAAAACCGTGACAACGCTTCAACGGCTCTGGCAACATTCCGTGTACCACCCACACGCAACTACGCCCCACTTCACTCCAAAAGCCCTCCACTGCCTCCCTTGGTGCAGGAAATAAATAAACCTCTTGATGTACAAACCAGCAGGGTGATGGATTCTCACACAAACACAGCACAATTATACGCACTTTCAACTGTTTAAAACCACCTTCATATTATGGAAGTGTTTACCTATAGATTCTCTCTGAAATCATCTATTTGGCTGTTTTTAAACCATTTTGTACCAACGGTTTGAGAACTTCGTGTGTTGTGTATATATTGCACAATACTGATGCACGTACACAGAGCCTACACCGGCCTCAACTGAAGATTCACGTATAATCCTAAAACACATTTTCCCAAAATGCAAGCCGCAAGTCACGACTATGAACAAAATAGGCTCCCCGATACGCAAAGCACTCAATCATATGGAATCATAAAGAACACGTAACACTTAGGACACAGGGTCTTTGGAAACCCCAATTCATTGCTCTATAAAGGCACCAACAATTTCTAATGTGCCGAGTCCCAAATAATAATAGCAACAAGCTGCCGTCTTTATTATAGATTCTTGATAAATTCTGACTATGAAACGCAAGGGAAGACATAACCAACTCTCATTGGAATCTTAAGCATGTTCAATTTCATCTCTGGGACCAGACACCACTTGGGAAATCCATATGAATGGCTGAATTGTCAATAGGTCTCTCACTGGTAGCCACACGCAATGGGAGATTTGAAACGTGGAACACAATATTCGTTCCTACTCGCTTCTTCCTTTTAAAATTATCTGTTTGCCATCATGCCTCCGAAATACACAGGCAAATCAAACGGTAGTGTACGGCACACGCCACAAGCAATGCACTTCATGGCTTGCTCTGAAAAACAAACACTTATCACTGGTCTCTGCAGGTGTAATATGACATCACAGACTACCCATGGATGGCGACACATTGCAATTGTACACATGGCAGGTGTTTAAACTGCGTTAAAATAAACAAAACAAGCCGTACCCAATACCACGTAACTACAAATTATATTAATTTATTTTAGCAAAGACCACTAATAAGCATACAGAAAATGAAGAAGTAACAATTTATCCAAACTTGTCACGATATGTTGAAACTGGAAGTCTTGGAATACTTGGCTGCCATGAGCAGAGACACCTTAAGACCCATAACAGAGGTGTTTTGGGTTAGATCGCGTAATTATAAATGTGTCGTTAAACCCGCCACCACCCGACACAGCCAAACAGTAAGGTTTGTCGCATAAACGAAACATGGCAATTAGTTACTAGTACAGCACACTGTATGTTGGTGGGTTTAACCCAAACAAAACCTCTATTATGGATAATATTGGTCGCGAAAACCTACAAGGTGTTAAACACCTTCAAGACTTTGCTTGATATGCGGACTGAATCACGGTGCCAGCGAAGCATGCAGCCTCAGTCTGGACACATATTGTAAAATAAGTATAACCCGTAAAAACAAAGTTTTTCACTCTAAATCCTTTATATGCGTGGCGGCTAGAGTCCTCTCGTCCTCTGGCTTGAGATGGCTGCCACCTATGGGTCAGATGATTGTCTGCAGTATTAAACAATTGGTAATTAAATATTTAATTTGTTTTCCCTAAACAGTGTAAAATTTTGGAGAAAAAAATTTCACGAACATTAATTGTCTCGCACAACGAGTCTGTGTGAAAAATGTCAGCTCGATTGGATCACGGGAAGTGGGTTAAAAAACGACCGAAAGGTTTGCACGGTCGTAAGCAAGCAAGCAAGCACGCAAGCAAGCAAACTTAATATAAAGGATTTAAAAATACATAATGGGTGGGGAGGGACTGGTCACCCCGTGGTGCCCTTATAAAACTCAACGTTTAACCTACTCACGCCGGCTTGTGCCCGCCCTCACAGTCGGCCATATTTGTGGAATACACCACGCCGCCGTTGACCCTGCAGGCCATTGACCGAGCAACCAAATGTTCCTACCAGCTCCCTCCGCAGGAATGTGTTTTAAACAGCTAAACATACCCTTGCTGTTTATATTGGGTACAGACATCTCAGCAGTTCTAAAATTACCTGAACCATTCTTAGAATTAAACCCAAATAGTGCACACAAAGATGAACATTTTCAAGCTTACAACCACTGTACTGTTCAAAAGTAATAGTAAAAGCAAATTAGAATTTACTGTCGAATCTGCAGACTGGTTTTATTTGTTTCGGAATCCATATTTTATTTATTGCATAAATGTTACATTTCTCTCCTGCTAAGACAATGCTTTATCATAAAGGGGAAAAAACTGAAAAGAACACTACATTAATGCATAATTATTAGTCTACATGAAATTTAATAAGTCACTGGTGTTAGGTTAATTTTCGAATAACTTCACATAACGTCCTCCATGGCTAATACAGTCACCATATGAACCAGGGCCCAGCTGCTGGGCTAGAACAGTGGACCTCTGCAACAAACGTTGCTTATCTGGTGTAGCATATGGAAACATAAGAGCTTTGTAGTGATTTAACATTGTGCATATTTTGCAAATGACTTTTTTAGAAATGTAATATGGACAAAGCCATCTGTAACAGCAAGGATAGCATTCCGATTATCTATTTATAAACATAGATTTCAGGGGATTTGGCGTGGCGATGCAAAAAATGTAAGTGTCTAATGAACCGATGGGACCAATCAGCATGTAATAAAAAAAATATTTAAGTGTCTTTTGGTGCAATTATGCACGAAAGTATTTACAGAAATGTGTGACTAATATCAGGAAACCACCAACATTTCTACAACATCACTGTACAGCAACATTTGCAATGCACTTTTGGACAAATGGATAAGGAATGTGGTTTTAACAACTCCACAATTTATGCTGATATGGTAATTCAGCCAAATCAACATAATAACAGGATGGAAAACACTTCGAAAAATACCTTGAAAAGATTAATAATATTGAAAACTATCAGATTTCACAGCAGTTTTTTTGGAGCAAATTAAAATATGATAGAATAATAAATATTTAGGTACGATTAATTTACATGCAGATTTACTCAAATTCTAAACACGACATCTCTTGCAGGCTCTCTTGAGTGGGAATTTAAGTGCACATCAAGCTACTCACATTTGGCCTCGAGAAACACTTTTGTGAAACTAAATTTTCATTTCCTTAAATAAACATTAAATCAGGCAATTTAAAGGCTACCACTTCAAGATGCTCAGAGAAACTTCGTTTCATCGAAGGCAGTGCCGTGCTGATTTCCAGTCGTCAAATCTTTAATCCTGGCTTAAAACTGTGCACATCAATGCCAAATTTTTTAAATCACATCCTATTTTTACTGCATTATAGATTTGTTTTGTTCTCCTGCACCCCACATATGTGTTCCACACCACCTATACCTTCTGCAATCTCTTCTTGAAAATACAAAAGTAAGGTCACTTTAGAATCATAATATTTATTCTGGAGGAATCCGTTGAGCTATGAAGCTCTTTTTCACAGATGTCCACTTCTAGATCACCTTCATATGTCCACTTCCTGACCACCTTCATACTCTCCCACAGAAACAGGTATCTTCCACCTTATTACGTAATTTATCATTTATTACGAATATGCCTGTTTACTCAGGAAAGCCTCAGCGAGTCCCAAGACTTTTTTTCAGAAGTGTCATGCCAAATATTCACTGCAGGCGGCGATGTTGCCACGTGTAAACCCAATTGAGTACATTTACAGGTCGATATTTTTAGCATTGGGATGTTTGGCTAATATCAGGATTTTTTTTTTGCTATTTGAGTAAACCTAAGAACCCAGAGGAAACTCATGCAGAACTGGGGGAGAACATCCAAACTCCAAACAGAAGGGTGTCTTGTCAGGAATACAGTAAAACCTTAGATTGAGAGTAACTTGGTCTGCGAGTGTTTTGCAAGACGAGCAAATTTTTAAAATAAATATTAATTTGATAAACGAGCGAGGTCTTGCAATACGAGTAGTACGTGCATACGCTTTGTCTGCCGAGCATCACGTGATCACAACTGATACACGAGTGCTTTGATATACGTGCTTTGGATTACAAGCACGTTTCCGGAACGAATTATGCTCGCAATTCAAGGTTTTACTGTATATACTTTTTTTGTCCCACATGCCCTACTACAAGAGAAATGTTCATTGCATTTTCATCCCGCACCTCCAACTAACACAGTTGGTGATGTACGGTGCGAAAGAAGTTCAACATGCATACATACATACAAATCTTGACATCCATTCATAATAAGATGATTTGTAAATTAAAAATTAGCTTTGTGTACTGCCAAAGCATTCATGCTATAAGCAGTTTTGTACCACCCACCTGTTTGGGAAGATCCAGAATTCGCTGGGGGTCATGCTTCACCTTGTTGGTGGGATGGTTTGTCACTTTCGTGATAGGCTGCTTGAATATGGATGCCGTCTGTCTGATTGGCAGAGAAGTATTCAGATCCATCTTCCCCTAAAAAATCAAGAGTACACAAAAACATAAACCACATAAACAAAACAAACCAATAATCCGTCCGATTCCCACCCCCCACATCAAAGCGCCAAAAACACAAATAGTGTAGGTTGGCATTAATTTAATGGAGCAGACAATTACCGTAAAGACAGTTGCCTTAACCAAAAAACTAAAAAATACTCAAGTAATCATTGGTCTGTAAATATGTTTTCTCTGACAAATAGACCATGGCTAATGAAACATTTAAATTAATATTCTGAAACAAATAGCCCATCTGGTAGGTGCACAGTGTTGAAAGAGTGGAAATCACAGAGGGAAAGCCACCTGCTTGGGAAGAAAAAGATTAGTCCTTTGGATATGAGGCTGCCACACTTTACAGGCTGAAGGTCTAGAGAAGGACTTTGCTTACTTACTTTCACCGATGTAGCACACTCCTGTTAAAGAGATGATAATGCCATTTTAGATAATGTTTAATGTAAAAACCTATGACTCATCATAAGATGTGCACACAACTCTGCAAATTACAGACAACGTCTACTATTGTTAAGCACCTGGTTGCTATTGTTCGTTGTTGGGTTGAAGTGCATAGGTTATGTTAATCATGCTTAAAAGATAACACTTGCCCTTGAATAAATGCTTTAACAAAACGTTTTACGATAAAAAGTGATGAATAAGATCAGCAGTGGCAACCAAAGAGCCCGGACCACTTCAAGTTGCTGCTCAAAAAAACAAAGTGGATGACAACCTCATGTGGCGTAGACCCATATCGTAAAGAGAAGGTCCTTGCATGCAATATCAGCCGTTCACCAGCATTTATTCAAACAAGCCTGACTCTGCTCATGATACACGATGTCAAAATCAGTCTACAGGCTGCTGGTCTTAAATCAATCTTGCTGAAATTATGCACTCTCAGCAGGCTGTGCAGCCGATGGGTTATAATAAATAGTTTATGTACAGAGAAAGTCGCATATATTGAGAATAAAAAACGGTCTGTGTATTTACCGTGTGCATGTGTGCGTGGTAAACTTACTTTAGAAGAATTGAGCATCTCATTTCGCAACTTCTGTTTGTTCTTCTGCACCTTGCCGGGCATCATACGTCCCGTCCGAAAGTCGAAACATCCCAAGTCCACCACATGTCCAACTGCCCGTGACAGCTGGGGTTTGCTGCGAAACTTCTTTCCTGTTGGACTACAATAATAAAACACAAAGATATGCTTATAGCCTGCTCAGACATATCGCGCGAATTGGTAACAGGGTTTAGTAACAAGAAGAGACATTTTTGCATCATTGTGCAGAAGATTTGTGTCATGTTCAGAAGGTTTGTTGACACTAGATGCCATTTGTATCCACGAGTGGAATTGGACCAAGATGATCTAGAATGTAAAGACTAGATTTGAAGCTTTCGTGACTGCAAGGATTCATACTCTTAGGTTTTTCTTTTCGTGACTTTACCGAAAAAACCTAAGAGAATGTAAAGACTATTGTTCAAAAACATCACTCTGACTTTTTAGACGCAAATATTTTTCTACCACTAGGGCAGGGGATGGCAAACCTGTGTCTTTGGAGCTGCGTGCGGCTCTTAAAGGACCGCTTCGTGACGTTATTTATTAAGGACCACCATCTCGTATTCAAAAGCATTGCAACTCTTGAAAGTGATGTTTTTTTACTGAATTCGAAAAAAATGTCTATTCTTATTTTAGTTGCCGACCCCTGCACATGGGAACACACATATCACACGCATGCACACAAAACTACTCCCAAAAAGTGGAAAACATTCTAGAAAAACGGGCATGCATTTTTTTAGTGCCTAGTTATATCATACTGGGACAGGATCCACGGTGAAGTGAGGAGCGCACTGCTCTCTGAACCAGGATAGTTAAACGACAACCATTACAGCGGCAACCGTCCGCATTACCGGTTGCAAAAGTCAAGAACTGGCAACCGTTTACCGTGGAATGGATGCACCAATTGGCACGCGTGAACTTACAACTGGCACGGAAACGTGTGACTGCGATTGGCCAGTGGCAGCCATCTTATAGCACCTAATCCAGGGGTCGGCAACCTACGGCTCCGGAGCCGCATGCGGCTCTTTACGGGCTGCTTCTTGACGATATGTACGTATGTACAGTATGTACTCAGATGCATTGCGGCTCTTGAAATACTGAATTTTGTACCGAATTGGAAAGAAATGGCTCTTCTTGTTATTTTGGTTGCCGACCCCTGACCTAATCCTACGAAGACAGGCCTCATTAAGTCTCCGTGTGGTGCGTTCCTTTTTTCATCGAAAATGAAAACAAATTAAGGCGCAACCCTGCAATTGCTCACTGGTTGGCGGAGGGGCCTCTGCTAAAAGGAGCTCTAGAGGGGGTATCAAATGTGTTGGAAGAGGTGGGCGTACCCACATTTTACCCCACCACACGAAACCTGCCGACTAACTTGAGGCCCCATCATACTGCTTGGCGGACAGAGGCAAGGGAATTTAAGAAACTCGGCCCATTGTTTCGACTGCCTGCACTGGGAGACTGGATCGAGCCACTGCCTCTGGATTGCAAGTCAAGTTTTCTAGCCATTACAATCACACATAAGATGACAAACACAATGACACAGGGCAATACAACATCTATTTTGTATTGGTTTTCACGATGTTATTATCGGATATGAAAGAATAACGGTACTAACAACCTTACTATAAACCCAGAAAACTCGAGTTTAATACCCAGACAAAGCTAACATCAATGATGAGTGATATCTGAGCTCGTCATGGGCCCCCTCTCACCAACTAGCACTGACCAGCGTGGTGATTTATGGTCAAACAACCTTCACACAACTGAGACAGGATAATTTACAAAGCGCCGTAATTTATTATTACGCATCCAATCGGTTTGATCGTTTGGTACAACCAAGGATTAAACAGACTAAAACGGCAGGCACACTACTCAAAACCACTCAAGCACATGAACATGCATTTCAAGGAATCAAAAGGGAAAGCTGAGTGCACAGAAAAGACTAAAAAAATGCATTTTTCAAAAATAAATTAACCAATGCTATGTTCAGCCTCCTGTATAGGCAGTTACATTTGAAGGCTACCACAAATGCTTAGAGGAGTTAGGGAGTGTAGTCCTGGCAGATATGGCTGCGAACAAGTGTTACAGAGATATTGCTATTTAATAGGCGTGCAACAAAGCACATTCATCGAGTGCAGCCACTGGAGGTGCTGCCATTCAGCGTGTAAATAAAAGGTTATTGAATCAAAATATGGCGAAATAAAAGTTACAGGCCTCAATTCCTCCAATCTGGACGCAAATTGAGCAATTGTGTCCCATGTACAAAAATTGACAGCCTTACATGAATAAAAAATGTTCAATCATAGCATTATCTTAACAAAGTGCTCTACAATATTGCTGTACAAATTATAAATAAAGCATCCATCACCTTAGACAAACAAGAAACTGAACAGTACCCCGTGTCACAACACACATGTAAAACAAGTGTCGCGTTGGCCCAAGACACGCACTAAAGCATTTTTTCAAAAACGCAAAGTGAAAACGAAAGGTCAATACGGTATGAAGGCAGGTGTGTTTCGAACTCTGCAAGGCTGACTAAATAATGATGGCCAGCAGGCCCAAAAGTAGTTTCCCCGTGATGGCGAATGACTCTCCATCCTTGTTTACTACAGTGTTTGGTGTTATCAACAACAAAAATGGTACAGCTACTGATCGTCTGGAATTTTACTTATCTAGAAATCAAACTGACTGTGGGGTGAGACCCCAAAACCCATGCCAGAACCGTGTTGTATTTTTTTCAGGTATATATACTGTGGATATCTTTGAAACCCTTGCCATTTGCTTCAAATTAATGAGCTAGGTTTGTTAAAGTAATGTTAGTAATGTTTTATGTACCCAGAAAGCCTCAATTAATTGTCTGACTTTTTCAGGTGGTTTGCACTTCAGGATGTTTGGTTCAATTTATTTGAAGCTGGCAACAACAAAAATCCCATATATGTGGAGAGGAACCACTGACTATGCCTGCCACTAACATAGTCTCATTTATTGTGTTTTACTCAAAGGCAAATGAAATGAACTCCAGCTGATAAGACCGCTAAAAGAAGAGGAAGTAGAAATGCACATTGTTTGGCGATCCATGGTTGTTGTACCATGGTGACATGGTGATGAACAAACTTGCATGAGAACCACAAGTGGTCATTTGGGTGCTTAAACCTAAATGTGTCAGTAATTCTCAAATAAGCTCACCAGAGTAGCATCCTCCTTAAGACCCTTGGCGGCTGTGGACACCGCAAACCTATACAGATGCCAAATCGAATTATTAATTACAATAATTTACAGTCTCGTGCTAATCCGCTGCTGGATGAAAGTCTCCACACGCTGCGTCAGTCATGGGAATTGTTTGATCATACTTCACTGCACATTGGTCAGTGCAGGCTGGTAAAGGGGTGGCTATTATTACTTGCCGCCGATGCTAGGCATGGGCGGGATTCCATTCAGGTTTCTGGGTTCATAGAAAAGCTCCCCTCAAATACAAATATATGGGCTGATAGTCTAAAACAAAATTCATACTGTGTTCCATTAACGATAAGTTTAATTAAAAAAAAGTTTGCTCAGCATCGAGTTTTCAATAGTAAAAAAAAAAACTTACTATAAATCTATGTCATTAATTTTTTTGCTCCATATAATATTCCTATTTTGATCTTTGATCACAAGATGAAGAATATTCCTTTCAGAATCATCACAGAAAGCAGGGCATTACCCCCATGTTAGAGGATGGCTCGTGGAAGAGCTGACATCACAGAACAATTTTCAGGTCACTTAAATTTCCTCTTATCCACACTAGGTGGTGCATCTTTTCCACGTGCCCTGCTTTAGAAAGGCAATTAATTCCCAACAATGTTGAGTCCCTCGTTTTGAATGACTCAAACAAAATTAAGTGAAAATATAAATTTAGCATTACAATTGTTTGCGTGCGTACATTAGCGCCTGGGAATCAAATATCAACCCAGGCCACTGAAGAACCTGGTTTAGACTCGAACCCAGGTTTCCAGCAATTCTGACTCAAGTGTTGAGACTGTGTATTGTCTCTCCCTGAGCAACCTGGTCGCCTCCACAGTTTTGTATTTTGATTCATACCTACATTACACTGTAACGTTTGTAAAATCATGTAAAGTTAGATATGCAACGCAAAACAGAAATTATGTTTCCAAACAGGTTCATTACCATGCACTAAGGGAAATCACTCGTGTCACGCACAGATGAGTTCGACACAATCTGCCACCCAGAGAAGCGCGTGGAGCATAGCATTGATGTAAATTCATGCCAGCAGGAGCCAATACTGAACACTGCCCATCCCAATGTGAACAAGGGCCAAAGGTATTTGTGAAACAAGTTCGGGCAGCAGAAATTATTCATATGACATCAGACCTGCTGCAAGTCATGACCTGACCTCAGAGGGTGTGTTTTATAAGCATTAGTCATCAACTGTGCTCACTATACCTCATTTGGTATTTCCCTTAATGCCAATGAAGGGGGAAGCTTTTTGACCAAGAAAACCCAGGAATGTCAAGATGCAAAAAGAGAATGTGATTAAAAGTCAATCCCCCCCCGAGGGCTATCCCCAAGGGCTATCCCACATGGCCTTGGTTTTGCCCTGTTAACACAAATAAAGAAAACAGACAGAACCTTCAGTTCTAGCTACTGAGTTACATTTTGTTTATCCACAATAGCAGGGCAGTACATTGTACCACTGTGTTATTTTTAGAGTTTAACCTTAAAAAAACAATTATATGGACAAATGAAAAGCAGCTGTGAATGGTTGGAGGCAATTTATAGTTATCGTTTTTTTACGAAACGTAAAATGCAACAGGATGTCAACAAGCTGATCAGCACCATGAGCCGACGCAATACAAAAATGCATTTGCAGTGCATTTCTTCTCAAATTTTGTTTGTCAAAAACCGTTAGAGATTTCTTATTTGGCAAGAAAAAATATACACATTTAAATAAGAAACTCAATAACAACGTGTTTATGGTTTTATTCTGACTGATAAGAATGTAGCTGTTTACACCAGAAAAACACCAAAGTAAAGCACTTGCGTAAGCAGTTTTGTTCAGCATTAATACCAGACAATGTACCACTGCTGAATCCTCACCACAAAAACCACAGCCCTTTTTTGTAACAC